CTTTGAAGTATTCTAAGCATTTCCCCCACAGCCAGTTATCCGCACCGGAAGCAGAGCAGTTAGCATTTTCCAACAAAGGGAGGAGGAATTCTGAAAGAACAATGGAGCCCAGCCAGGCTCTGGAGGATTCCCACTGCTCCGCCTGGCCCTTCTCCTAGGGAGGTCATGCGGGGAAGACCATGACCCCACAGGGCAACCCTTCCTCACAAACACCTTGGGAAGGAAGCTTTTAGGAAAGCAGTTCATAGGAAAAATTGTCAGTGTTATCCACGACAGTCATGTATGGTACTGCACGCCTGTAATCCCAGAAATCTGGGAAGCTGAGTCTGGAGGATTGCTGTAAGTTTGAGGACAGCCCGGACAACTTAGCAAGACCATGTTTCAAGATAAAAAGGGGCCAGGCATGGTGGTGCACACTTGTAATCCCAGCACTCAGGAGGCTGAGGCTGGAGGGTTGCTGCAAGTTCGAGGCCAGCCTGAGCTACACAGTGAATTTGAGGCCAGCCTGGAATACATAACAAGACCCTCTCTCAAAAATACCAAACCAAATCAAATAAAAACAAAATAAAGGGGTGGGGATATAGCTCATTGCAAAGGCCCTGAGTTCAATCCCTAGTACTTAAACAAAGAAACGAAGAAGCAAACACCAACTGAGACCCTTAGCCAGTCTTTCTCCTTGGCCTGACTGTTTCAGGGAGGGCAAGAGGGAAATTGAAGCAAAGTAAAACGACAGCAGTGACCAGAAGAGGGCAGGCACGCGCTGCAGATGGCGCCTCCTAGAGCTCAGGACGGTCTGGATGAGGCTCCAGCAGCTTCCCTGTGGCATGCATGCTGGCCAAGGTCAGATCACCTCAGGGCCCAGTGGTAGCGTCCAGCAGGAAGGCTGCCTGGGAGCCATATGGGTGACCACACAACCGGGTACTGGGCTGGCCACTTCTGGACAGTGCATCCTGTGACTGTGGACCTGAACAAGGCAGCTCTGAGAAGCAGGAGACAGTGCAGGTGTCCAGGCAGCCAGCCCAGAGGGACTGCAGGACAACTCAGATTTCTTGTCTGTGATGGGTTTGTTTGGGTATCTTAAGGCCATATTCTGCCCACTGGATATCTGCATCACTGAAGGCACAAAGGAAACTGTTTTTTCAGTACTGATGACTGAACCTGAGGCCCCGTTTTATCATTGTTTTTGAGACAGGGTCTTGCCAAGTTGCTGGGCTGGAACTTGCAGTCCTCCTGCCTCAGCCTTCTGAGTGCTGGGATGACAGGCATGTCACCATTATGCCCACCTATGTGGGTGGTCTTCGCTCTGAGCATCTGCAGGTGTCTAGAAGCCCAGATTCTCCTCCGGGACTCCGCCTGCAGGGGAGGTGTGGGATAGGCACTCGGTTGCTTGTTCCCTCAGATCCTGGAAGTGGAGGACTCATGCCCACTTCCTGAGAGACCCTTGGCCTTTCCCAGTACCAGTGCTGCCCCCAAGGTGAGTCCCACCTGAAGGACCACCCTCCAGGTGCCAGGCACCGCTCCAGACCCTGCTTCCCAAGTTCCCAAAGGGCAGTCCTGTCCTCAAGCCCTACTGCCCTCAAGCCCTGCTCAGATTTGAAAGCAGAAAATCCCACTGAGGACACAGCAACCCTCGGCCTCACAGTCCTGGTGAAGGCAGCAAGGCTGTGAAGAACGTGGCTGCTGCTGGCACGGTGGGAAGAAGGCGTCCTATCCTCTACCAATCGATTCTGCCTGGCTATATACCCAGGCAGTTGCTGGTACTTCCTGCATCCCTGGCCGGAGGGTCACTGTTAACAATGAATTGGCTGTGAGTTACAGGCAGGGCACACGGAACACAGGTCACTGTCCCCAACCGGATGCATCAAGGCCGAGTGAGCTGGGTCAACATTTTCTTGGCAGTTTGGCAAAGTACGTGCTGAGGCTTCTGACGAAAACCTGACCACTCCCTGGGTACCAGGGGAAGAAGGCTGATGGATGGCTTGAGGCCTAGAGGAGCTGTGAGCTTTCCTTTCTGTGTCCGAGGGAAAAGGAGCTCAGAGTGTAAGCAGCAAACTGCCATCGGTGTGAAAAGCTACCAGATCTTTGTGTTTTTTGTTTTTGTTTTCCATGGTGCTGGGGATGGAACCCAGGGGTGCTCTACCACTAGGCTACACACCCAGCCCTTTTCATGTCTTATTTTGAGACGGGGTCTCTGGGTTCAAACCTGTGATCCTTCTGTCTCAGCGTCACAGAGTAGTTGGGATTAAAGGTGTGCGCCTCCACAGCTGGCTCAAGTCATCTATTGTAACAGGTGACACAGTGACCATGGGTTAACACAGCTACTTCCTAGATGGGGCATCTCAGCAACTTTTTTTTTTTTTTTTTTAACCGTGAAGACTAAAACTTTTTTATAGAACATTGTGTTCCTGCAGTACTCTTCTCAAGAGCCCCAAGGGGGTGCAGTCTAGGTGCCAGCAACAGATGAGCTGGTGAACAGGAAGACACTGTCCATACGGACAGTGGAATGCTATTCACCCTCAAGAGGGGACAGGAGTTCTAATACACACTGCACCGTGGATGATCCATAAAGATACAGGACTGGTCAAAACATATAGAATGTGTCTAAATTTAAAAATTTATTATGGCAAAAGACACACTGCTATTAATCTCATTAAGGTACCCTGCCTCCAACACACTTATCTTGGTTCTGGCCACTTTCTGAAGCAGTTCTGGAAGTCCTCTTTCATGAGCGTCTTTATAAGGTGGGATCAAAACTACAGTGAATGTTGCTGCTGAGTACCTCCAAAGGAAAAGCAGCCCCCTAAAAACATTACAGTGTGTCCTCATCTGCCTTATTCACCGGATCTGGCACTGTATGATTTCTGGCCCTTCCCCGAAGCCAAAATTATCACGAAAGGGAAACATTCTCAATCAGTTTAGGACATCAGGCAGGCAACAGTGTAATTAACTACAGATATTCACAAAAGGACTTTCAGAACTGCTTCAGGAAGCGGCAGGAATGGTGTTCAAAGCGAGGGGGATTCATGGCAGTGTGTTTTTTACTGTGATGAAAATTTTTAAACCTTCACTGTGTTTTTTAATCACACCTCCTATTATGGCAAATGAAATAATCCAAACCCAAAAGGACAAGTCCTGTACAACTGACCCCTCTGTGAACAATGTGGTCCCGTCCATGGAATAGGATGGTGGTTGCCAGGAGCAACAGGAAGTGGGAGGAATGGGGAGTTAGTGTTCAGGGGCCCAGAGTTCCAGCTGGGGACAACAGGAGGGTTCTGGAGATGGATAGTGGTGACGGGTGCTCACCAGTGTAAATGGACTTAATACCACCACACCACACATTTAAAAATGATTACACGGGTACATTTCAGGTCATGTGTCTATTACTACAACAAACACTTTAAAAAATATAAGCTCATAGTTGAACTGGAATACTTTTGTAGCCGAATCTGTTCTGAATCTCCCAGTGTGAATGTGCAGTGTAGCAGGGAGACATCTTAGGAGGCTAAAAAGCACAGTGAAGACTCGGGTGCAGAAGAGAATTCCAGGGCTCTTCATCCGTGAAGCCTCAACTGGAGAAAGCGGTGGCTCTGGGAGACCACGTCCCACCCGCAACCTCACTGTCCTTATGGTCTGCCAGCTCTCCTTCTGACACCCAGCACAGAAACCTGGGTCCGTGGGACAGAGCTTAGGAAGATTCCACTTTTCTCCACAAGGTCCTGCTCTTTTCATTTGTGTGTGTGTAGGGGGGTAGTACTGGGGATTGAACCCAGGATCTTTGCACTAAGCTACATCCCCAGCTCTTTTTTATTTTTGCTTGTTTGTTTGGAGACAGGGTTGCTCTATGTAATTCAGGCTGGCCTTGAACTCACTAGCCCAAGCTGGCCTCAAACTTGCAATGATCCTCCTGCCTCGGCCTCCTGAGTGGGGAAATACAGCTGTACACTACCACACCCAACCCCAGCCCCTCATTCTAAAGTTTTATTTTGAGAAAGGGTCTTGCTAAGCTGCTAGACTGTCCAGGCTGGGCTTGAATTTACAGTCTTCCTGCTGAGCCTCCCAGGGTGCTGGGACCACATGCATGCACCTCCATACCAGCTCCTGTTTTGTTCTGTATTCTTGCTGATAGCCTTTCTGTCTTGGGTGACATGGAATCTCAATGTGGTTTTGATTTGCATTTCCTTACTAGCTAAAAATGTTAAACACTTAAAAATATATTAGCCATTTGTACTCTTTCCTTTGAGAAGGGTCTGCTCCATTCATTTGCCCATTTTTTGGACCGGGTTATCTGTTTTGTTTCGTTTGCTGCACTGGAGACTGAACCCAGGCCCTTCACACTAATCTATGTCCTTAGCATTTCTTTATTTTGAGACAAGGTCTCAAATGGTTGCTAAATTGCCCAGGCTGGGCTGGAACTTGCGATCTTCCTGCCTCAGCCTCCAGCTAGTATTCTAATTCTGCTGGTGTTTTAAAGTCAGCTTGATCCGCCAAATGCTTGGTGCTTCTCTCTGTGTCCTCCTGACTGCCCAGCAGATGGGCCTGAAGTGGGTTGGGGGTTTGAGCTTGACAGCAACCTAAGGGGCTGAGATTAAGACCGCATCCCAGAAGGGACAACTCGGTTGCTAACAGGAACACACCTTCATGTCACCTCCTGTCTCTCTTTCACAAGAGAACGTGAGCATCTGAAGGCAGCCCACTGGAGTGGGACCAGGACGAGTCGTCACAGAGAAGGGCTCATCACTTATATTTGTCCTCTAATTCTTTGCATTCAGAAAAGGCAGAGAAGGCATGAAGCCACCGCCATGGAATCCACATGTGATGTCCTGAGAGCAGACCATGCAGGGGGCAGCGGGCCCTGGGAGGGGCAGGTGTGTGACTGTCCCAGTCCCCACGGCTTGCTCTGCTGACATACCTGGCCTCGGTGGCCCAAGGTGGCCTGGAGGACCCTGAGCTGCCCACCCTGCAGAAGCATGGCTGGGCCTCGGAGAAGGACCCCACCCTACCTTTCAGGGTTCCCTGCAGCGTCTGTGCCAAGCTCGCCAGTCGGTGGCCATCACTGGAATTCCTGCTGGGGTTCTCTGTGGCTAGGAGGCTCAGGGTGGCCAGGTGAAGGTTCACGAGGGTCACTTCGTTACTTCCCACCTGGGCAGCGGGAGACAGAGCAACAGGGAGGGGCTCACACACTGCTGCTTTCCGAGAGGCCATATGCAGCCCAGAGATGGCTTAGTGTACACAGTGGACCACGGCAGACGCAGCTGGCACCACCCAGGAGACAGGCAAGAGCTTCAGCTTCCGTCCCCTGGGCACAAGACCCGCACAGATAGGACCTGTGCTGTACCAGAAACCCACCTGCCAAGACCTGCAAAGCTGGTCAGAGATGCACGTGGCAGGGTTTGATTTACTTCCTTCCCTTCTAAGCAACCACACATGGTAGAAAGAGGTGTTTGTGGTAGGCGATGTTAGCAAGACTCCACTACAGTGCACACACATCCCACCACTGGGGGTTCCTGTCTCCCTGAAGCCCAGCCTGTCCCGATTAACCCCGATCACAGCTGGGCAGCATCAGGGCGTTCTGCAGGCCACACCTAGGCAGACATCATGAGGCCCCGCTTGGCTGCTTTGCGGGGGTTAGGCCTTTGGTTGTCATGAAAACCAAAAGTAAACACTGCTGAGAAAGGAAGGATGGGGGCCCCAGGCAGCAGAGGGCAGGCTTGTCCAGCAGACGTGGCCCTGGTTTGACACCACCAGGTGCACAGCTCTGCCGCTGTGGCCCTGCCCGTCAGGGGAACTACCTTGGGGCTGGGCAGAGGCAAGGGCCAGACACACTGTATTCCTTCTCATCTCTCTCTCTCTCTCTTTTCTTTTTGCATTACTGGGGATGGAATGCAGAGCCTCACACATGCTAGGCAAGCAATGTATCTTTTGGCTAAGTTTGCCAACCAAGCCCTGTCCCTGTACCAGACCCTACATGTGACCTGAGGCATGGAGGCCAAGTGCTGGCTAGGGGACTTTTTTTTAGGTACCAGGGATTGAACTTGGAACCCTGTGCTTCTGAGGCAGGTGGCAGCACCAATGAGCTAAATCCCTGGCCTGGCTAGGGGATTTCTTGAGAGGAACTGGACCACCACAGGTGACACCATAGTACTTTCTCATTAAAAAGAGCTTTTTTTTTTTCCTTGGCAGTACTGGAGATTGGACCCAAGGCCTATATACTGAGCTGCATGCCCAGCCCTTTTTAAATTATTTTATTTAGAGACAAGGCCTTGTTGATTTGCCCAGTTGCCCATGGCTGGACTCAAATTCGTCATCTTTCTGCCTCAGCCACCCAGAGTGCTGGAATTATAGCTGTGCATCACCATGTTCATCTTTAAAAGCCAGCTTGCTTTGCAGTGACACTATCTAGTCTAACTGCTGCTGTAGCTGTTCTTGGCCAAAGTCACTTGACATAAAAAGGGGCCCAGCATGATGTTGGGAGGTTTTAAAGATGACCTGGGCTGACTCCCCCAGCAGGTCCTTGAGTGTGAGTGTACAGACAGCACCTGGTGGAGATTACAGGCTGGGGCACAGAAGCGTCAGCAGGTTCCACAGTGGACACCCCAGTGCACACCCCCCCGCCCCACTGCCCTGCAGCCCTGGGGTGAAGGGGCACTGCGGCTTGTGGCCCCCAACACAGGTGACCTGTGGCACAGGTACCTTGAACTTGGCGAGGTGCGGGCTGGGTGCCAGAGGCCTCCCGTGTCCATTGCTGGGCGAGCTCTCCTGCCAGGCAGCATCTCGCAGCTCCACACCAGCTGCTGTGTCCCACAGGAATCCCGAGTACCTAGCGCCCTGCAGCGAGAAGGAGACAGAGTGGATGCTGGGTGCGAGTTCCGCAAAGTGTGGCCTGGAGCAAAGGGAAAGGTGGTAGGGGCTCACATTTCCCAAGATCATTCCTCAAAGCACCCCATATGGCCAGGCTCTTCCCTCTGATTGGGCATAGTCATCTCATTATCCTGGGGGTCATCTCATGCCACAAGGTAGCAGCTTGTGACCCCTTTGTTAGGTGAGGACACAGGTGCCCAGAGAGGCTGAGTAACTTCCCAAAAGCCCTGCAGCTGTAAGGGCCACACTGAGAATCATTCAGGAGCCTGTGTGGGGCGGGGTAACTTGCAGATGAGCTGCTGGTCACAGTGCGCGGGGCCTGGCACCTAGAGGTGGCTCAGTCTGAAGCTGCTGGATAGAGGAATCTGGGTGGGGTTCACCGCCCTGTGCTCAGGAACAGGCTGAGGGCTCTGCAGGTGGATGGGCTGAAGCCTGGGTCACAGGCCCTGAGGGCCATAGGGACACAGACTCCGGGTTACTGAGGGCAGTCTTGAGGGGACCCCTCATCCCTGAGGTCTGCAGAATGCTCTTAAGCCACCTGCTTCTGCCACTGACTGGAGATTCAGGATGGAGTGGCTTCTTTTTCCCTGCACCTGCGGCCTGGGCAAGCCGCACACGTCTGCACGGAAGGCCACACACCATCACACAGGCCCACAGCGCTGCTCAGAGCTCTGCCAAGTTGCAGGGGTGGAAGTGGCCTCACACAAGCATCCTCCTGGGCAGCTACCCCTGAGTCTCTGGCTCAGCTCAGGCTGAAGCTTCTGTGCTCCCTGTGGGCAGAAGCACTGGGTGGAGTCACAGACCCTGATCTTGGATCCTCTGTGTCAGGGAGCCAGGAGCCACCCATCCTGTCTACGCCTCAGTGTCCTAGGCACGGTGAGGTCAGCAGCGCTCCGTCAGCTCTGTCTGCACCTCTCCTCTGTCCGTGTTCCATGCAGCAGTGCCAGGGCCACCTTCCCTGCACAGGGCTCACAACATCTTCTGCCTGAAAACAGTCCTGGCTCCCTGATGCCACCTTCCTTCTCACAGCCCCGTTATGCCTGCTCGTATGTCCCCAGCGGCCCCAGGGCCTTGCCTATCCCCCCTCTTCTGTGCATATTGCTCCTTCTGTCACTGGTTTGTGACCCACATGGGGCCTTCAGCAACTCAGACTCAGGATGTCAAGGTCAAGAGCAGTTCGCCCAGGAGATGGCTCATAGGCTCTGCCCCTCCATGCAGGGGGTGCTGTGGGGAAAATCACTTCTTCCAAGGTCTCCCAAGTCTCAGCTTTCTTCTGTGCAAACTGCCTCAGGCTGTGGTGTGGGGGCCAGTGAAGGGGCCAGAGAAGGGACCAGAGGACTTAGGGACCTGAGGTTAGGGTTGGGAAGCAGGGCTTGTGCTTTCTTGTGCAGTACACATACTGAATATTCCTGACCTGCAGGTGGATTATTTGATTCACAGTGTTTTAACACATCATTTTGATTACTGGTTGTGACCATTCATCCTGATATGTCAGTGTCATTGGATGAAGAAATGCCCAGCAGATTAATAGAGCATACTTCTGGGTATGTCTGGGGGGTAGTAATGGAAGTGTGACCTTAGATACTCTGTATAGTCCCTGGCCCTTCCTCTCTGCCACGGTTCGCCTGCTCTGTTCCGGGCCACCATGAACTAAGCAGCATTGCTCCACCATACCCTTCCACCATGATGTTCCTGTGTAGGGTCAGCTGATCATGGACTGAATCCCCTGAAACTGTGAGCCAGAGCTAGACTAAACCTCTCCTCTTTTAGGTTGTGGGTGTTGGATGCTGTGTCCCAAGGATAGAAAAGCTGAGTAGCACATCCTTCCATATTTAAAATTCAGACATGGCCAGACTTTATGGTGACGACTGGCTGGGCCTGGGTGCAGCTGCAGCTGATGGGGACAGACTGTTCAGTCCCACACTTGCACATCCCACCCAGCCTGCATTGCGCTGACACACGCCAGTGCTGCTTGTTCGCTGTGTTCTTAAATCCTGCTGCTAGGAAAGGGCTTATCCTCCATCATACAGAGGAAGAAACTGAGGCACAGAGGTTTGAGTGGCTGGAATTTGGCTTGCTGTGACTGTATGCTGCTCTCCAATGGCTTTGATCCCCTCCTCGAGCAGGGTGACCTGTCCTGTCTCCGACAGGCTATGACTGTCCTGGAAGAGGGGCTGGTCGGTGGGGAGGGTTTTCTCACCAATGTGCACCTGGCACAATACACAGGACCTGGTGTGAGTCACCATGTGTGAGTGATTTGCTGGATGCATAAAGGATGTGTGTTGAATGGATGACTCTGACACCCCGAGAAGCCTCATGCAGCCACACACATCAAGTGCTCCTTGCAGACCATCAAGGTGGTGTTGGCATCTCTGTGAGACTGAGTGGGGACATCCCTGGGCTCAGTCGTGAGGCCCAGAAGCACTGTGCTTGGCTTTGCTCTACCCTGTCCCGAACACGCCTGACTCCCTGTTCACTGAGGGGCCGAGTCCAGGCCAAAGCATCAGGCCCAAAGAAGAGGGACTTAAGTGTGCATTTTTCAGGAGGAGGTAAAAGAGTAGGGGCTGCCAATAACAATCACTGTGGGTTTCATACTGTCCATAATAATGAATGGCTGGACACTTTAGTCCAGTATACATTTATGATTTGTGGTTTAAGCGCCCAAGTTGTACATGTTAACCATGTAAGTACAATTCACATGTGCTTCTAAGCACATTAAGCCTACTACAGATGCAAAATAACATCTGCATGTATAGGAAAATTATGTAACAATCATTTTTTGATTTGTTTTATTAAGACAGGGTAGTTTAGGCTGCTCTTTAATTCATCATGTAGCTCAGGATGCCGTGAGGCCATCCTGTTGCCTCGGCCTCCCAAGGGTTGGGATTACAGGCATGTGCCACCACTTCCTGTTCTATTTTTATGTCTGTGGTGCTGCCACTGAGCTACATCTCCAGCTCAAAAGTCTTTAAACAAACAAACAAACAAAAAGTCTCAAAGCATGCGGATCTAAACCTGACCTCGAATACAGTGTGTAAGAATGAAAATGTTTGTACGCAGAGGTCCCCCCACTCCACGGGGCAACACTGCTGACAGAAATCCAGGATCAGGAACTGGGGGAAATGTGAACAGAGCACCTCTATGTGCACAGCCTCAGGTATGAGAAAGTAAATGCTTCAGGGATGAACTCAGGTGACTCTGAAGTTTCCAGGCAGTGCACAGTGGATAGAATGTAGCAAAGGGATTTCGAGGACAAAGGACTGAATCACCCCTTTGCTGTCTTGGCCCTGGATGGGATTCCTGCTCCTAACACCCCAAGCTCGCATTTCCATCCGGGCAGCCGTCCACTCCTGAGCTAGTAGGAAGCGAGCACCAGGGCCCTGGAAAGGAAGGGCAGAGACTGAGAAAGGGGAGGGAACACAAACCTGCCCAAGGACACCAGCCGTGGAAAACATGAAACACCCTTGACTGGGCTGGGGGAAAGCCCAGCGAAATAGAATAAAAGCAAAGGTGAGGCTGTGTCGCCAAGAGTACCTTCTGGAGCTGACTCGAGGGCTTCTCTGCGACCAGAGACCGCCAGCATCCCCGGGGACCCCTCCACTTGCGGATGTTGGGCAGGACCGGCTGGTTCAGCTCCGCACAGAACTGCAAAGACAGAGGCTGGTCAGTGTGTGTCCCTGATACCGTGGCTTCGAGCCACCATGCGAGGGCTGGAGGCTGCAGGGCTTCGGGCCTGTGTTTTCAAAGAGCAGGCTTCCCGCTGCTGTCCGTCAATCAAAAGAGAAGTAAGTGAGGAGTGAACACAGCAAAACAAACATGGGGGTTCTGAAGATCCAGATGACGAGGTAAGCAGCACAAACGAAAACATGCTGTCCACCTACAAAACACCACGCAATCGCTGGGACTGCGGCTTTCTTTCCCAAATGGTTCAGAAAGAGCAGTCAAAGCCCTGTCCATACTGTGAAGCCAATGGTTCGAGGGCCCGAGAGCATCTGATCAGTGTCAAATCCAAAAGGAAAGAAGAGGGCCATACGGGGTCTTTCTTCTTCAGGCCTTAGCTTAGCACACAGGAACAGAAAATGACTCCAGCTCAACCTTCAACCACATACTGTCACAGATGGCTACATGCCCATCTATGTGTCATGGTGTGTGTGACTTTGTGCTCCTTCCTGTGTGTTTCACAATATGGCCCGGGAACCAAAAAGAGGCAAAATAAAATAGCACAAGGTAGAAAAAAAACCTGCCAACTCCAAGCTGGGTGTGATGGAGCATGCCTGTATTCCTGGCACTCTGGGAACTGAGGCAGGAGGACTGCAAGTTTGAGATAGGCCTGGGCAATGAAGCAACTTAGTGAGACCCTGTCTCAAAATGAAATTTAAAAATTTTAAAAGGCCTGGGATATAGCTCAGTGCAAAAGTCCTGAGTTCAATTCCCCAGGACCACAAAATAAAACCAGATTATTAACTTTGCAGTGCATGGGCCAGCTTTTCGAATTCATTCTGTTTTTTTAATATTAAATTATTTTTTTTCTCTCATTGAGTTTATTGGTACATTTTAGGTATACAGTACAGTTACATTCATCACAGGGATCTTGTACCTTTACATGACAGGTCTTAGTTCTAATTCATTCTGAGTCAGCTCTTTTGAGGAGTCTCCAGATTTGGGCCTAGTTTTTTTTTTATTTTATTTTTTTCCTTTCAGTTCTGGAGATTGAACTCTAGGCCTTCACACCAAGCTACATCCCAGTCCTTTTTTATTTTGAGACAGGCTCTCACTAAATCACTAAGTAGCTCAGGCTGAGCTCAAACTCAAGCTCCTCCTGCTTCAGGCTCCCAGAGTGCTGGGATCACAGACACGTGCCAATATACTTATCTTGGACCCAGGTTTTGAGATTCTACAACATCTGGCATTGTCCTCTGCAGTGACACCCTCCATACACCTTTGAGCACCCACTTGCCTGTTTTTTGTGAGGATCTCTCACCTTTAAGCCTACTTGCTTGTACATTTTAGGTACAGTACAGTTACATTCATCATTGGGATCTTGTACCTTTACATGACAGGTCTTAGTTCTAATTCATTCTGAGTCAGCTCTTTTGAGGAGTCTCCAGATTTGGGCCTAGTTTTTTTTTTATTTTATTTTTTTCCTTTCAGTTCTGGAGATTGAACTCTAGGCCTTCACACCAAGCTACATCCCAGTCCTTTTTTATTTTGAGACAGGCTCTCACTAAATCACTAAGTAGCTCAGGCTGAGCTCAAACTCAAGCTCCTCCTGCTTCAGGCTCCCAGAGTGCTGGGATCACAGACACGTGCCAATATACTTATCTTGGACCCAGGTTTTGAGATTCTACAACATCTGGCATTGTCCTCTGCAGTGACACCCTCCATACACCTTTGAGCACCCACTTGCCTGTTTTTTGTGAGGATCTCTCACCTTTAAGCCTACTTGCTTGTCCACATAATCAGCTTGCACCTCTATCTGGAAGACCCCAAATATGAGCCGTGGCCCATGTCTGTTTCCCCAGTATAGAATCATGTTTATGATGGCCTCTTTTTTTTTTTTGGTACTGGGAATTAAACTCAGGTCCTTGTGCTTGCAGGGCAGGCGCCAGAACCACTGAGCTAAATCCCCAGCCCTATGATGGCCTCTTTAACAGTTCCACCTCAAACCAATACAGCTGGAAGGAGCAAAGCAACAGACCCAGCTCCCACCAAGGAAGCTCGGTGTTTAAAAAGCTCTTCCAGGCAACCAGCCTACCAGGTATCTGGGAGTCCCAGCCTGAGGGTACTGCCTGGCAGGGACTCAAGTCTGCAGGCAGCCAGGCCATAGACGTGTATCTCTGATGGCCCCAAAGCTACCCAGCTCAGCTACCTCCTTCCTGGTGACACAGCTCTGTGGGGAGAGAGGTGGCCCAGATCAGAGGTGGCCATGCTGGTCACTTTAAGAGACCATGTTTGTGACTAAAGTAGGGATGATCAGTGTTACTGAGTACTTGTTAAAATGGAGATTCTCAGGCCTGGCTCCAGACCTGCTTAGAGACTGGGCTGGGCCAGGCTATCTGCATGTGATGGAAGGCAGAGCTGGTTTCATGGATGGAGGGAAGGCATTATACTTTATTTTATATTTAAAATCTGTTTACTCCTCAGAGAACTCTAGAAGCCCTCACCTGGCGGGCATCTGAACTCTGCTCATCTGAAGCCTTGCTGTGACTCCCTCTTGAAGCCACCATGCAGATTACCTATCTCTGACCTCTCCCCAGTGCTTTTTATGTCACTGGGAACAGCGAACAACTCAGGAGACAAGCAACAGAAATGTGGTTACAGAGCTGCCTTGGCCCCAATTTTCACAGTCAGAGTTAAGCAAGGGCTAGGGATTTTCTTCCATTTCTAGGACCAGAGAACGAACTGCTAGTCTTTTAACCAAAGTGACATTTACACTAAAGTGTCACAGCCAAGCTAAGAAGGGGAACATTCCAGGTCCTTGTTACTCCACAAGTGGTCTATGGACTGCAGCATGGGCCTCATGGGGCCCCAATCTGCTGCAGTCTGCACTGCTGCAGGTCCCAGGGTTGTTTCTGAGCCCCTGAAACTTTAGAAGTCATCCTGAGGGACTTCCCGCCAGCTGTACCAGGGCAGGAGTGGTGGTGCCGCTGGCTCTGCAGGCCCCGCAGAGCCCCAGAAGGCGATATTCTCCCAGCTGTTCTGGGGCCACTTGCTGCCCAGGATGGTGGGGCCCTCCCTTGTGTAAGGTCAGGGTCATCCAGCTAGGAAGTGTGACAGGAGGGTGGGGCCAGGTCTGCCATGGCTGTTGCTGGGCCTCTGCCTGGACAGCTGGTCAGGGCTAGACCCGTTCCCCCCACGCCATCCTCCATCCTTTCCCCAGAAGCCTCCTGCCTTAAGTGCCACAATTAGGCCAGCAGATCCTCAAATCTGTTTCACCCACATCCACAGAAGAAAGGAATACTACTGTCACAGGTTCAAGGGGCCACCAAGGTAGAAAGGTAAGGACAGCAGGCAGGGGCAGCAGGGATGGTTTGTGTCACTCAAAAGCCTCCTGGGGAATTCTGACGTGCACAGCCCAAATATGGCAGCTCACATCACTCTCTGTTCTCAGACCCCAGTGGCTCACAGACAGCCCACCTCCCTCAGAATGAAGTTCGTTGCTGTGTGTACAGTGGTGGACCGTGGGCATTGTGACACACACTTGTGATCCAAGCCACTTGGGAGGATAAGGCAGGAGAATCACGAGTGCACTGGCACATGTGTGACAGCTGAATGGAGCCCCAGGGTCACTGGGACCTTGGTCCCTTCCTGATCTCTGCTCCCCAGGTGCCAAGATCGAGCAGTTTCGCCTGCCAAGCTCCTCTGCTGTGATGCTCCACCCCGACACAGGGCCCAGCGACAGCAGGGTCACCAACCACACACCTGTACCTCTGAAGCCATAAGCTCAAATGGGCCTTTCCTCTTCCAATGGTGTCATCTTTGGTGTCTTGTCACAGTAATGCAAAGTGGATGAACACAGCCAGCAACCGAGAAGTGACAAAGGTCTCTTGGTCACTAAACTACCCTTGGGCTCAGCAACCAGGGACTCCAAAGTCCAGATCTCTTAAACACAACCTTACAGATGCCCAAGTTACTGGCATTTACAGCTGCTCAGTCCGGAAGGACAAGTGGACCTTGCTGAGACCCCAGACTGCAGGACTTCTGGGTCTTGGGTCAGCCCGGAGTAGATGACTACTTATCTCTACCATGACAGTGGCCAGAAAGCTTGAAAACAACTGCTTTTTGCTCATGGACCTTTGGGCTTTCTTCTTTACTTTGACCTCTCCTATGTTCTGAAAAGAATATTCCTCCATCTGGATCTGACTGAGAAAGAAACATACAAAAGGGCTTCCACTTTACTCAGAGGCAGGTCCAGCCTCCAGCAGGAGCAGAGGCCTTCACAGCCCCTTTCCAGTCGAGTTCAAACCAAAGCCGGGCTCTGGGGGCTATGTGTGTCATAGTGGTGACCACCCAGCTAACCAGAGACAGGCTCTCGGGAGGATCTAACAGCAAACACCAAATGGCCACCTTGTCCTGCTTCTGGGAAGGGTGGGGCTGGTCTGTTTTCACTTTGAAGGCCTGGGCTTAAATTCCCAGATGAAATTGCTTCCCTGGAGTGGTGTTTCTCTTGCTTTCCTGACTCTGGACGTGACTTCCCTTTGACAATGAGTTTCCCACATGGTCACCACCAGTTCCTCCTCTGTGCTCTGTGGAAGCTCCTAAAAACACAGTCTATTTTGGTGGATGACAAAGCCCATGTGGGTTTTCCTTATAAAGACATATTGCTATAATCACACATGGTATGCAGGACAATAGGGCCAAAGGCAGAGAGAATTGTTTTTAAGAAACATTAATGGAGGAAAGTGTGGAGACACAGGACTAAAATCCCATGGAGGTTGAGGCAGGAGAATCTGAAGTTTAAGTCTATCCCAGGCAATCCAGCAACTCGGTGAGACCTTGCCACAAAAAGAAAAATTGAAAAAGAACTGGGGCTGTAGCTCAGTGAAAAGACCCTGATTTCGGTCCCCAATTCTGAAAACAAACAAACAAAGTCATGTTAATGGTGAGCAAGGGTTTACCCTTGCATGGATCTTCAAGCACTAAAT